TTTTAATGTATTCCAATGTAATTCTATGTAATTTTATCATATTATTTATTATAGCTCTGGAGTTAGAACATGACCGAAGTCCGTTTTGGTATACCAAATATACCTCCGCACACCGCCCAATTCTTATGGCAACTGTGACGCGCGTTGGAGACATGTTGGAGATCGAGATCGTAAAGTACACTCTGAGACGAAATCCCACATCTCACATACTTATTGCTTATAACGTCAAGTTTAAACAGCCTAATTTTAGACACACATGCGCTAATGAAGGCAGCAGGCGCACATAAAAAAATTCTCTTAGTGAATGTTTCAAGTTATTTGTTTGATTATAAAACTGCAATTCGCACTTAATTTGATTTAATTTATTCAATTTCCGCACTCACAATTGAAAAATAAAATAGAAACTTAAGCAAGAAAAATTACGCAAATTACCGATGCAACATAACAAACGTCAGACTGACTTTCCACCTTGAAAAGAGAATGATCATTCCCAATTATCATCAAATTGATAATTTCAATTTGCATTATATTTTTCACATTCCAGTGGAATCATCCCGAATATTGGTGAGACTGTTACGTGCCAAACAAAGCCGTATTCATGGCAACGTCATTACAAATAATCACTTGTCAAGAAAAATACCTTATTTTAATTTTATATTGAACTGCAGTAGTATTAAGTAAATTGGAAATACATAATAAGTAACCTAGGGGATGGGGTGACGTGCTACTAATAATTGAAAGTTGTATACTTAATTAAGAATATCATGTCTCAGTTCATTTGTCGAGTAGTAAACTAAAAATAAAAAATAAATTGGTAATATAGGCTTGAGATGATTATGTGGAATAGTGATTAAAAGTTGTATACTTAAGATGAAGTCGAAATTCTAGCCTAAAAATCATGAATACTTATAAACAATTGTAGTGCTATATAAAGTGTTCTAATGTTCAAACGTACAGACAATAGAAAATCTGCATAGTGGAATTATATAAGAGTGTGTTCTTGCCTTTCTGACATATATTTATATTTCTTTTTATTTAGGATATCATTATTCTTAACATAAAAATGCTATACGTTCAGTTTGTATATAGGTCTCTTATACACATCTAGATGTGTATAAGAGACAGA